CTATAAACAATGTCTATGCCACTACTACAAAGGTTTACACAAAGATTAAGTACCAACTCAATTCAACAAAATGTAACATAAATACCACACCCCATTAATAAATATTTATAACATATAACACCACCAACTTCATTCACAACATAGACAAACTTATGTCACACTCTCTCTGACCAAACTCAAAACTAATCTAACACCAAATTTCTCAAGAAGTAATAGCAAGATTCCTTAGAAAACAATTAAACATTGCAACTCAAGCCTTCCAATAGCAAGCCTAGATAAAAATGATTTAACACTTCACTGCTATCCATCCTATAACTCATCATTTGTAAAATCATGATAAAAAAACATATATTAAAATAGAGACTTTTGATTGCATGATGTAAATATGAGCAATTTTATGACATTTAGTTGCCAAATCATCTCTTGAAGAAAAGAAGATGATTTATGTGTTTGATTACTCCTTGATGACTTTTTTTTCGAACTCAACTTTGATTAAACTTCAAGCTTGCATTCACACTGCATTCAGTCTAATCTAAAAAAGTTTATAAGAGACTATGGCAATGACTACCTAAACCAATAAACTAATCCTTATAATCTTGATTGATCTACTTATAATAATGCTTAGGAAGGATTTAGTAGTCCCATGCTAAACAACTACAAACCAATCTATATAGCAAACTTAAGGGAGATTTACTTTTACTTAAGGGAACCATTGATAGGCTAATATTAATCTTGCCAACTCAAAGTGTATTAATGTGCTTCACTCAGAAGCCCAAGCACATACTTGTGTAAAAAACATATTTTGTGAGTCTAATAGAAGCTTATACAATTTAATATGAAAAAATAACCAAAATCCATACCCAATGAATGCATGCGAAATCATAGCACCCAAACGTGTACCCATTTGGACCATCATTTTCATCTCAGTGTATGCAATAAGTTTAATTACCCAATCTTATTATATAATATTTGTTGAAACTAATTCTTTAATACCAAATGTAGCACATATGGTTTTCACCCTATAGTGATTTTCCATATGAGCGAAACCTTAATCCTTAGATACAAGGGCAATGGAGCAAAACCTAAATTTAAGAGCCTTGGGCCATGGACAAAGCCAAACTCTTAAGCATATGCCAAAGAATGAAAGAACTAAAACATAAAATGATTCATGAGCATATAATCTAAGGAATGAAGGGACAAGTGTATAAAACAATTTTAAAGCATCTATCATCCAAATACCCTTGCCATGGTGGTTCTTGTGGTTCCTATAGCTGGCTGGGGAAATCTAATTGCTCCAAGTGTTCTATGAGTGACTAAGAGAGAGAGTTGTGTCTTTTGCTAGTTGGGTCCCTTACCTAAGGCTTTTATAGGTTGTGCTAACACCTCATGTTGCATTAATCAAGACAAGTTTGATCGTTCACCCTTGGATGGCACAAGCCACCCATAATGTGGGAACAAGTGGTATCTTTCACAACCAAATGTTGGTGTACTTTTAATTCCTCGTCATCTACTTGAAAATAAATTGGCTACTGCATTACAGGACAAATAAAAGATTCAAACTAAAACAAAAATCCATCTGGCTTGGAATGTCTTTCATAAATTATCTTGAACCTTAAAGACAAAAAAATATCTGTAATTTTAAATTCAAAAAATATCTTTATTTTATTATTTTATCTTATTCTGAATTCTATATAAATAAATTTTTATATATCTATAAGGTTAAAAACATCTTTAATTTTATTTCTTTGCTATTACTATTTACAATGAGAAAAGCATTAAATATTTTAGTTTTACTACTTTTATTTAAAGTTCTAAATCAACTGGGTATCAGACTGGAGTATTTGATGCTATAAGTGAAAATGTTGTACATGCTATTATAGGAGCTATTAGGAATTCAATTAATAATATACCAAATAGTATAATTCCATTAAGACAAAGTGTACATGGAGAAGTAGATGTTCACCATCCAGATAGAACTCATACATATGTTGGATTTGGTATTTTTGTATTAGAAACAATTAGAGAATTTTGTACTATAAATTCTGGAGGAGGTGTAGAATTAGGAGTTAATATAAGAAATTCATTAAATCAAATTTTAGAAGAGTCTACTGATGATATGCTCAATTTTGCTGCCTCATTTATTATTATAAACACTGAGCATTTTTTAATTTATTACTTTGTTAGAAATTTTAATAATCAACAACACAGAAGACAACAGATTTTAGTAAGGCATTCTCAATGCCATTTGTTTTCAAGCTTTTTAATAAGTGGTTCTATCAATATGTTGTATCAATATCTATTACCTTCACAATTTTTAATTTCTTCAAATCATAAAGCACATTTATATTTAAGCTCTGATTGTAACTTAATAGTATATATGGGTATAAAAGAATTATGGTCTTCAAATACTTCAAAAAAAGGAACAAATTGTATTCTAAGATTGCAAGAGGATGGAAATTTAGTTTTATATTCTTATAATAATAAATCTGTTTGGTCAACAAATACTTTTTGCACTTCTTATAATTGTTATAAAGCTACATATTTAGTTATGCAAAATGATTGTAACTTAGTTTTATATATTGGATATCAAAAAACATTTAGTACTAACCCTAAATTATATTCTGAATGGGATTCAAAATCTTTTTGCTAATACATATTTTCTTTATATTTCTTATATTAGATACTAATAGTGTATAAATTTATTAATAAAATAGTTAATAATTTTCTAATATCTTCACTAAATTGTTTCTTTCGTCACTGTCTTGTCTTTTAATAAGGAGGAGGTTTTAATTTTAATCATAATTACAATGTAAAGTTTTCTACCTTGTTTTTATAAATTTAAATTTCTGTATTTATTAAAAGTTCCAACTTGGTAGCAACTGCCTAAAAAGCACCGCTCATGAGCAAACGATCGATGATATCAACATATTTTCTTTATACTTACCATTTCTGTTTCTTATATTATATATGTAAATTTATTAATAAAATAGTTAATCATGTTCTAATATCTTATTAAATTGTTTCTTTCATCACTGTCTTGTCTTTTAATAAGGAGAATTTTAATCATAATTACAATTTAAAATTTTCTACCTTGTTTTTATAAGTATTTAAATTTCTATATTATTAAAATTTCCAACTTGGTAGCAATTGCCTAAAAAGCACCGCTCATGAGCAAACGATCGATGATATCATCTCTCGAGCTTGCTCATCATCGAATCTAGCACAGGAAGCTCCTTGACAAGCTCTTGCCATTCAGGCATTCCCTGTAGCAGCACCCAAATCACTTTTGCTCTCTAGCCAACTAGATTAAGAAGATTTGCTTACCCGACCCGATTTGCGGATTCTCCCATCGAGCCGGAGCACAATGAAAACCTCTTCGCCACCGGTTACTCCTTCCGACTCTTGCTGCTCAAAGATCCACCTGATTGTCGTTTCCACACTCTAAACGCTCAAACAAGGTAGAAACAAGATACTCACCTCTCCCATTCTGCTTGAGAAACCACCTCCGCTACAAATCGCTTCTCACTCTCGAGCACTGCCTTCAGTGCCGCGTCCTGCGCTCGTTTTTGAAAATCATCCTGAATCACGAGAGAAAAGGGAAATTTAGGAACCACGGATTGGATAAGCTTACGCTGCCGGAGCCAGCTGCTGGAGCTTTTACGGAGCGTCCAAATCCTTTCTTCTTAGGCGTCTCGTCCTTTTTCCTCCACTCGACCGGAATCAAGAGCACGCCTCGTTGGAGGAGATCTTTGCGGTATCTCTCCGCCTTCTCCAAAGCTCCCTTGATCGACTCTTTGGTACCGGCCAATATCACCTTTCGCTCCAAGAGAACATATAAGCAAGCTTGGTTTGATATTGGAAAAAAAATTAAAATTCTTACCGGTCGTGTGATCCCTCGAAGTTGCACCACCTCCACGATGCGTCCAGTCCCGAGCCGGACAGGAAGCCTTGACAAAGTCTCGTTTCTTGTGATTTGAGACATTTGCGTCTCTTCTTTCTTGCTGTCCCAGATAAACAAGGACACAAAAGCCACTATACCTGTGAAAAAGCGCAACCTTGATTAGGTGAAAGCACACTCTCGTCACATTTACCTGCGAGGTCTATGGCCAAATTCTGTGCGGTCTCCGTGACGCTTGGAGCGTCCTCTCCCCCCTGCAGTGCCCGAATGAGCCTCGGGACCGTGATGAAAGTCGCGATCCCAGCGGCAATCGTGAATGCGACGTAGAAAAACTTGCGAACGCCACGAAACGGTGCCTGGACTTCGCTGATGAGCTTTAAGTCTCTTCGGAAGCTGCTTCCAGTGTCTTCGCCACCTTTCCTAGCCTGTCCAGTGCACGGGAAAGCTCATCACTTCGGGCCCAGCAAAGATTGAGAGAGAGAGAGATTGGCTCAACCTCGTCCTGGAGAGCCTTGAATTCTGGAGACGCTCGGAAGGGAGCAAGGTCCGGATCATTGAGGATGACATGAAACTTGACGTTGTAATCGCGCAGCGCTGTTTGCAATGCCTGTGCTGCTTTCGCGGGTTCTTCCCTGGAAACAAATGGTCACGAAAGGAGAGAAGAAACGAAAGAGTCGAAGAAAGCACGAAACCTTGAAGCATGGCAGCAAGCTTTGTTGTAGTACGCGGCCTGCGCCTCATCGAAGTTTGGATTCATGGCCAGGGCGGTATCAAACTGATGCAATGCGTCCTTCACCTGCCTAGTGAGAACAAACCAACACGTATGGAATCATCCACATCCATGGAGCTTCGCTAAAGTACCCTTCCTTTGGAGAAGAGTGACAAGCCCAGATTGACGGCGTCGGTTGCTGTTTTCACCTGTGATTCGCTTCCATCCTTGGCAGCGCGCACCCTGATCGCGATCTTGGCGCGCCCAAATGCGAGGCGACGAGGGGCGGCACCACACCTGAGCGTCACGCACCCGGAAAAACACAAGACATCCATCTCTCTCTCTCTCTCTCTCTCTCTCTCTCTCTCTCTCTCTCTCTCTCTCTCTCACACACACACACACACACACCAAAAGAGAAACCCTCTTATCTTTCTTTTGTGACCTCTACGAGGATCTTAGCCCGCGAGACATCGATCGTTCTTTACGTTTAGATAGAACCGCACTTTCTTTACCCTTTGCTCGAATCCATTTCCAGAGATAGCGGAGTAATGGCGTCTTCTCTCGTTGCTACCAGGTCGCTCCTTCTCCCGCATCAATCTTGCTCCTCTACTCGAAGAAATGGCGGCCACATTGTAGTTTGCTCTTGCTCCTCCATGGAAGACTTCACCAGAAAAGCAGGCAAGCTCGCATTCGCTACAGTGGCGGCCACAGTCCTCCTCGCCGGGGTAAGCTCCTCGCCATAGACCATCTTTCACCTCCTCCTTCGACACAGCATTTGCCCGGTGTGGGCATTTGTGAGTTCTCTTAGAGACCTTGTGTCCCTTGTCTTGCATTGATAGGCAGCAGATGCCCGGCCGCGCCCCCGCTTCGGATCCAGCGACGAGGAGATCCGCGAATACCTGGACAAAACCCCCAGCTACGACGATCAAATGATGCGAGCCTATCTGGACGTCAAAGGTAAGTGGACAGGAACCAAATGCCCGAGCCCCGTCACCAGCGGTGGCACCGACGGTTTCAAGCTGGAACCCGGTGACTACTACGTGACCAACATGTGTTTGCAGCCAACCTCATACCAAGTCACCCGGAAGGCCGGGATTGGCGAGTTTGACATCTCGACAACGTACGAGACCAAGCTGCTTGCGAGGGTGGACGGGATCGAGGGCTCCCTGGCCGTGGCTCCAGACGGTGGTGTCAAGTTCGAGGAGAAGAAAGGGCTCAACACGGACACCACCATCGCCAAAGTCATCGCTAGGCTTCCCGGGAAGCAGGAGCTGGTGCCCTTCATGTTTGGGATCCAAGACCTGGTTGCGTCGGGCAGGCCGGAATCTTTCGGTGGCCAGTTTGTAGTTCCCACAGCGACGATCCAACCGAAGAAACTGGACGTGGATGAGATCGAGCCGCTGGAGAGCACCACCACGGAGGGCAGCATTGTGTTCAAGGTGACGAGGAGCAACTTGGAAGCCAAGGAGCTGGGTGGCGAGTTCGAAACCAGCCAGCTCTCGGGCCTGGATCTACGGTCCAGATCCAACGCGGGCTTCCTCATTGGAAACAAGGAGAAGAAGAGGGTCAAGGTATCGGGCGTGTGGTATGCAAAGCTCGATTGATTGCTACGAGATAACTCTGATAGAAAGAATGTAAAGAAAAACAGTACCATGGATTGGATATCTCAATCAAACAAAGCTAGATATCATATCCTTTGGCTTTGAAAGTGCCAGGTGGCGCGTGCCCATTGGTTTCTCCAGCTTGTGGCGGCAAACCTCTTATCCATATATCCTCGCTATCCAAGAGCCCTAAACGCTCTGTTTAGCCCTAAAACAGAGCAGTGCTAGAGATCCAAGCAGCGCAATGGCGGCATCGGTGGTAGCAGCCAAGGCCGGGCCATCGCTCCTCCAGCCCAAGCTCGATGCCTCTGCCGGATCATCCGCCAGCCTCCGCCCGGTGTCGGTGTCCAAGGCATTTGGATTGCGCAGCAATGGAGGAGGAGCGCGCCTCACTTGCTCCATGGAGGACATTGTCAAGAGGGCCACGGATGTGGGCAAGGTCGCCGTTGCCACTGCCGCAGCCACATTGCTCGTCGCAGGGGTAAGCAAAAGATCTCCTGAATTGAGAGAATTGGAGCAAGTCTGGTAGTGATTCTCATGAATTTTCCCCTGTTTTGTGATGCTCTAGACCGCCGCCGCGAATCCAAAGCGCCTCACATACGACGAGGTCCAAGCCCAGACGTATCTCGAGGTGAAAGGCAGCGGCACCGCCAACCAGTGCCCGATCCTGTCCGGTGGCGACGGAGGATTCAAGTTCAAGCCCGGCAGCTACAGCGTCAAGAAGTTCTGCCTCGAGCCCACGTCCTTCACCGTGAAGAAGGAGTCGCCATTCAAGGGTGGCGGCGATCAATACGTCGACACCAAGCTCATGACGAGGCTGACATACACGCTGGACGAGATCGAGGCCGACTTGAGCGTGGACGAGAAGGGAAACCTCAAGCTGGTGGAGAAGGATGGCATCGACTACGCTGCGGTTACCGTCCAGCTCCCCGGAGGCGAGCGAGTTCCATTCCTCTTCACGATCAAGGAGCTCGTAGCGACTGGCTCCCCGGATGGATTCAGTGGAAGCTTTCTGGTGCCGTCTTACAGGGGCTCCTCGTTTCTAGACCCCAAGGGACGCGGTGGATCCACCGGGTATGACAATGCGGTGGCGTTGCCGGCCGGAGGCGCCGGTGACGAGGAGGAGCTCGGCAAGGAGAACCTCAAAGATACGTCGGGGTCGACCGGGAACATCACCTTGAAGGTGGCCGAGAGCAACACCGCCACTGGAGAGATTGCCGGAGTGTTTGAGAGCATCCAGCCCTCGGACACGGATCTGGGATCCAAGGCTCCCAAGGAAGTGAAGATCCAAGGTATATGGTACGCGCAACTTGACTAAAGAAAGAGTCACAAAATCGAGAGGAGAGATGATGTCCGCCGGATGTTTGATCAGGAAAAAATCCTTGCATAAGAAGGCTGTCATCTTCTCAAACGAGCGATCTCACATTGTAAAGTCTCAAATCCTTTTTAAACTACAAAGCTATTCCAAGATTCCATCTGTAGTAGCTAAAGCTAAGATCAAATCACATCTTGCCTAGATCAGCAATTTCAACGGTCACGATGGATTGAATCTTAACCGTCAGTTTGAACGGCCATGATCATTCTCTCTCAACTATAAACTAAAGGATAGGGTAAGAGTTTGCCACAATTCGTGGGCGGTGGTTGCGTTTCTTGGTGAGTGGCTATGGCGGTGTTGATTTCTTGCTTGGGTCGGTGTGTGTGATCTCTCAAGGATTTCGTGATTTCCTTACCGGATCTGATCGATTTATCGTTTCTTTTTGCGAGACTGTAGGCTTCTTTCGGCAGCAACGATGCAGATCTTTGTGAAAACCCTGACTGGCAAGACGATCACTCTCGAGGTGGAGAGCTCGGACACCATCGACAATGTTAAGACGAAGATCCAGGACAAGGAGGGAATTCCCCCGGACCAGCAGCGACTTATCTTCGCTGGGAAGCAGCTTGAGGATGGGCGTACGCTGGCGGACTACAACATCCAGAAGGAGTCTACCCTCCATCTCGTCCTGCGGCTGCGCGGCGGGATGCAAATCTTTGTGAAGACCCTGACCGGCAAGACCATCACCCTGGAGGTGGAGAGCTCGGACACCATCGACAACGTGAAGACGAAGATCCAGGACAAGGAGGGAATTCCCCCGGACCAGCAGCGTCTCATCTTCGCTGGGAAGCAGCTTGAGGATGGGCGTACGCTGGCGGACTACAACATCCAGAAGGAGTCGACCCTCCACCTCGTCCTCCGGCTCCGTGGAGGCATGCAGATCTTCGTCAAGACCCTGACCGGCAAGACCATCACCCTGGAGGTGGAGAGCTCGGACACGATTGACAACGTGAAGACCAAGATCCAGGACAAGGAAGGAATTCCCCCGGACCAGCAGCGCCTCATCTTCGCCGGAAAGCAGCTTGAGGACGGCAGGACTCTAGCCGACTACAACATCCAGAAGGAGTCGACCCTCCATCTCGTCCTCCGGCTCCGTGGAGGCATGCAGATTTTCGTCAAGACTCTCACCGGCAAGACCATTACCCTGGAGGTGGAGAGCTCGGACACCATCGACAATGTGAAGACCAAGATCCAGGATAAAGAAGGCATTCCTCCGGACCAGCAGCGTCTCATCTTTGCCGGGAAGCAGCTCGAGGATGGGCGTACCCTGGCGGATTATAACATCCAGAAGGAGTCGACCCTCCATCTCGTCCTTCGTCTGCGTGGTGGCCAAGCTTAAGTTCTCTACTGTGAATGTAAGTAACCTCTCTTCCATGCAATAAAAAACGCACTGCCGCTTTCAACACCATCTAATTGATGTCGACAAGGTGTCTAAATATAGTATCAGAGTTCTAAAGCTAAACCTCCAACCCATCTAGTTTGAGGTGGTTGTGCATAATAAACAGCAATAAAAGAAAAGAACATAATTATTAGTAATACACTTTGGGAAGTCATTGAGATGATTGTAACAAAAAAATGTTTTTAACCCTGTCCGTTTTAGGATTTTTCCACTTATACGTATAGAAGTCCCAGATGGCGTGACGAAAGCCCGCTGCAGAACTGGCATATTCTTCAAAACCCCACCTTTAAACAACACATTATGTAAGCTTTTACACAGCACCAGTTTTACACCATTGGCGATCTGCCTTAGTGACAGCGATAACAAGTGCTGCCACCCAGAACATCACCACAACCACGTTGGCTATGGCCTCGTAAAACATGGCTGACCAGTGCCACTTTGGGAGATGGTCTCCCTCCACGAAATGTGGAACCTTTTCCTTGTAGTGAAGCAGCCCCTTGCGCTGCCCAGGCTTGTAGCTGGGCGGACACAAAATGTACACAATCGGTACAAGCATGTGTGTACAAGTTGAAAGAAGAAAGAAGGACATTGCGATCACGTAAAAATCATGGCTGCAATTTCGGCCTCTTTGCTTCGCTACCCAGGAAATTCTGTAGGCCACCACTCCCAAGACCAGGAGTATGTAGATGATGTGAACCTTTACATGTTTGAGCTTGACAAGGAAAAATTTGATCAAGGCTGGCTGCTTGGTGAGCTTGGCCTGTGCCGCAACTCGATCGGTGCTGCTTGTTGGAGTGAATGTGAAAGTGGAAGAGTACGAAAAAATGGACTTGTATATGGTTTGGAGGAAGAAGGGTGTCATCCACCAGAAATGTGACTCGTCCCGGTTACGACTCTGGATGGATTGTGGAAGACCGAGCCAGACTGAGATCCAAGAAAGGCGCCAGAAAATGAGGAAGATGGCGAGCTGGATGATAACACGCCGCGCCTCATGGGAGGTGCCGATCATGAGGTCCAAGTGAAGTGCAAGACAAACGATGAAGAGGAGAAGCATAACAAGGTTGACGATTGCGATGAAGTAATATCCCGTGTGCCAGAAGAAACTCACCTTGAGAACCAAGGAGAGTTTGCTCTTTGGCCCAAGCATCTCTCTCCATGTCGCAGAGAATTGCTGTATAGCTCCCTGGCACCACCGCTGCCGCTGCTTGATATATCCTTCAAACGTCCATGGTGTAAGACCAATCTAACAATCAAAGGGGGAGTCAACAAAAGTCACCGTGTTTTGAGCAACAGCAGACCTGAAGCTTGCGGTTGAGGTAGACGGACTTGAAGCCCTGGTTGAAGAGCTTGAATGCGGTCATGGTGTCTTCTGTGATTGACATTGGCTGGAAGCCTCCAATCTCGTCCAGATGTTTCCTTCGGAAGATTGCTCCAGTTCCAACGCAGGGTGCGGCCCCAAATGTGTCCCTGTGAATCATGACACGCTCGTAGCCAAATCCGCAAGCATCATTTAGAGGGTCTCCCACTGGCAGGTTATAAAACGATTGAGGGATTTGCACGAATGACACTTTGGGGTCCTTCACTATGTGAGGGAGCAAAGTCTTCAGGAATGAGGGGTGAAGTATCATGTCTGCGTCCATCATCACCACGAACTCCGCGTCGGAATGCTCCAGGCCGTAGTTAAGGTTACCGCATTTGAAGTTGTGTGGGACTCCTGGAATCTGCAACAGTGAGATCATGAGCACGCACTGGGAAGGGAATAACAATATTGTAAGCTACCTTCTTTCGACGAAGATATTTGACACAAGCGCTCTCCAATTCCTCACAGTATCGTTTTAGCTCGTCGTCCCCTCCATCATCAAGGACCAAAACTCGAAACTGGTGCTTGGGATAATCCATGGCCAGGGCAGCCTGAATGGAATCCTCGGGAACGTCAGTGGGCTCTTTGCAGCAGGGAAGAAATATGTCAACCGTCGGAAGCTCTTCCCAATTCAACGATAAACTCTGACGGGGCAGCCATATTCGAGGCGGTAACACCAGATCCGCAGCCGAAATAACGCTGCTCGCAAAGTATATCACCTCGCAAGCCGTCAAAACTATAAGCCACGGCCTTCTCGCGAGCTCTCCGGGATGTTTAGAGTAAACATAGATCCTATAAACGAGGTAATTCGCAAATGCAGCTATATGTGCACAAACAAGGATGCAGATAATAGTGTGCCAGATTAGCTTCCCCCAATGTGATGTCGATACTGGATGAAGAGAAGACGAATTGGATGAAGATGGAGAAGAAGAATCATGGGAATCGCTTTGATCACTAAGATCACTCGGTGGTGTCTCCTGCTGCTGCTGCAACTCAAGATCTTTAATGCTAGACATGTTACTATCTTAATGAGTTTCCTTCGTTCCAGAGAATTTATTCGTGAGCATAATTTACTTTTCGTACAGCTGCATTTGTGTATGGTTGGTTGCTGTCTTGCAAATTGTGTCTTGAATCGTGTAAAGTTCCACTGAGAAGAGTTATTTCGTAAGTATGTTAAGAACTGCAAGCGAAAACAAAATATCATGTGTAAAAGCCAGCTAAATATTCCGGTTTACATTGGTGGTGTACCATATGACGCCGACCAAATCAGAAAAGTCCACAAACTGCCTTCGAATCCAAATGTGTTTTTGCGAATCAAGTAGCGTGTTCAATTCTACTTCTTTCTGCTACCGACAACTTGTCATCGTCTTGCATTACAAGTTTGCTGTGATAACAGGGACAAAGGTTAGCATTCAAGACCGCCACACTCACTGCGAGTCTGATGCCTCCTTTCACGAAACTTATATGCATCCCAATGTTGACCACTAGCAATCCTCAAGAGATTTCTGGGACAGAAAAGAGAATTCAAACTACATAAGAACTTTGGCTATAGGTCTTTTCTCAGAGATCGTTTGCCACTTTACTAAATAAAGAAGTGGCATGTACAACGAATGTTGATTGACTATATAGCACCTGCCTTACACCAGCGTCGATCCGACTTGGTGACGATTATAACTAGTGCCGCCACCCAGAAGATACTCGTAGCAACGTTGGATATCCCCTCGTAAAAGATTATTGACCAGTGCCACTTTGGGAGATACTCTCCCTCCAGAAACTGTGGAACTCCTTCCTTGTAGTGAAGCAGTGACTTGCGCTCCCCAGGCTTGTAGCTAGGTGGGCACAAGATGTACATAATTGGTATAAGCATGTGTGCACAGGTGGAAAGTAGAAAAAACGATATGGCGATCACGTAGAAATCATTCTGGCAGTTTTTGCCATCTTCCTCGGCTATCCAATAAATCCTGTAGCCAACCACACCCAAAACCAGGAATATGTAGATAATGTGCACTCTTACATGCTTGAGCTTGACAAGAAACTTGATCACCGCTGGTTGCTTCTTGAGCTTGGCTTGTGCTGCAGCACGGTCAATGTTGCTTGTTGGAGTGAATGTAAAGGTGGAAGAGTATGAAAAGATCGACTTGTATATCGTTTTGAAAAAGTAGGGGGTCATCCACCAGAAATGTGACTCGTCCCGGTTGCGACTTTGGATTGACTGGGGAAGACCGAGCCATACCGCGAACCAAGACAGGCGCCAGCAGATGAGAAGAGCTGAGACATTGATAAGAATGCGTCGGCTTTCGTCAAAGGTGCCAACAATGAGGTCCAAGTTCAAGGCAAGGAGAACTATGAAGAGCAGGACCATAACAATGTTGAAAACTGAGATGAAGTAGTATCCAGTGTGCCAGAAGTAACACACCTTGAGTAGGAATGAAAGCCTGCTCTTTGGCCCAAGCATCTCTCTCCATGTCGCAGAGAACTGTTGTATGGCTCCCTGGCACCACCGCTGCCGCTGCTTGATATATCCTTCAAACGTCCACGGTGTAAGACCAATCTAACAATAAAAGGTGGAGTCAACAAAAGTCACCGTGTTTTGAGCAACAGCAGACCTGGAGCTTGCGGTTGAGGTAGACGGACTTGAAGCCCTGGTTGAAGAGCTTGAATGCGGTCATGGTGTCTTCTGTGATTGACATTGGCTGGAAGCCTCCAATCTCGTCCAGATGTTTCCTTCGGAAGATTGCTCCAGTTCCAACGCATGGTGCGGCCCCCAATGTGTCCCTGTGTACCATGGCGCGGTCATAGCCAAACCCGCTCGCATCATTTAGAGGATCCCCCACTGGAAGATTGTAAAACGACTGAGGTATTTGTACGAATGACACTTTGGGATCTTTCACGATATGAGGGAGTAAAGTCTTCAGGAACGATGGGTGAAGTATCATGTCTGCGTCCATCATCACCACGAACTCCGCGTCGGAATGCTCCAGGCCGTAGTTAAGGTTACCGCATTTGAAGTTGTGTGGGACTCCTGGAATCTGTAACAAATGGTCATGAAAAAAGAACTGTTATAAAAGTTGACCTTTTCTCGACGAAGATATCGGACCGAAGCACTCGGAGGCTCAACATGCTCCAATACCTCACAGTATTGTTTCAGCTGGTCGTCCCCTCCATCATCGAGGACCAAAACGCGATACTGGTGCTTGGGATAATCCATAGCCAGGGCAGCCTGAATGGAATCCTCTGGAACGTCAGTGGGCTCTTTGCAGCAGGGAAGAAATATATCAACTGTGGGGAGCTCTTCCCAATTCAATGACAAACTCTGACGGGGCCGCCACATTCGAGGTGGTAACACCAGATCCACAGCTGCAATAACGCTGTTCAGAAAGTATATCACCTCGCAGATCGACAAAATTATCAGCCACGGCCTTCTCACGAGCTCGCGGGGCTGCTTGGAGTAGACATAGAACCTGTAACCGAGGTAATTCACAAATGCAGCTATATGTGCTGAGACAAGGAGACAAATGATTGTGTGCCAGATTAGCTTTCCCCATGGAGATGCTTGAGGAGCAGCTAACACAGATGTGGATGATGAAGGAGAACTAGACAGAGAAGAAGAAGAAGATTCATGGGGTGCATTAGAATCACTATGGTCGCTAACAT